AAGTGGGGCTGACTTGAAGGGCCCAAATGAGTGTCTGGAAGGTCAGCTTTCACAGCAGGGTCAGGATGGGGATGGTAATGGAACTTGGCAATTGTACTTATCCTGCAGGGTCCTCCAGTCAGGGCGCGTTCCGCTGATAGCGGAGAGGACGCCGTGGCGCTCCCACGGAGCACGATGCTCTTCCGAGACCCTCGGAGGCGTTCCCGGTGGGTAGTGATCCGTCCTCCTTCTCCCCATCTCCGTGTTGCCTTGAAGTCGTTCAAGCTGTAGGCTGTAGGGCTCCCAGCCCCACTTCTGGCGGGGGGGGTTGGAGGCTCCTTAGTCCCAGCCTCTGTGTGCCTTCCTGCCGGTAGAGGCTGAGATGTGGCCAAAGGCTGGGAGGCAGGACTGGGTAGCGGCGCCCCTCTGTTGCAGGGATGGCCTCAAGCTGAAGTCTAAGGAGGACCAGGAGTCCAGAACCCTGGAGGACATGCTTTGCTTCACTAAGGTGCATGTCCTATGCCTCAGGTTCCTCATCTGTAAAATGGTCATGCAGTAACCCTCTTTCTATCCCCTAGAGAAAAATACTTGTCCCCATGAAAACCTCTGGCTCTCAGCGTCCTGAGCCAGGGCTCCTTGCAGCACAGTATCTGGCCCTGTTTTGTGATGTGGGGTGCAATCCTCTTCTGTTCTACCAAGTCCCAACTCCATCATAATACAACCCCTTGATCTCACAGGCCCCGATCCAGGAATCCCTCATTGAACTCAGTGACAGCAATCTCAACAAGATAGCAGTTGACATGTTCCTAGGTGCGTGGGAGGCAGCACTGTTTGTTACCACTCTTCTCTAGTTCTCAAAGTTTTTCCTTCCCCAAATCTGAGACACTTTGAAGAAAACAGAAGCCTCTAGCTGTCTCATCAGCAGCCTTCTAGGGAGGAAATGGACCTTGGGATCTCTTGGGAGGGGCAGCTTGGGCATGGTGGCCCTGAGCAGGATGGATCTTTTTCTACAGCTGTGATGAGGTTCATGGGAGATGCCCCACTAAAGGGCCAGAATGAACTGGATGTACTCTGCACGCTCCTGAAGGTCAGTCCTGAAGCATGTATCTCATGCTTCCTTCTTGCTCTGGGCCTTGGCTTCCCCATCTGCAGTGGTAGTGCAGTGGGAAACCTTTCACACTGCCCAGAGAGCTGCGAATGCATCCTGCTGGAGCACAGTCAGCTGAAGTCTCCCATACCTGGCATGTGACCTGGCCTGCCTTTTTACAGTTCTGTGGGGATCATGAGGTCATTCGAGACGAATGCTACTGCCAGATTGTGAAGCAGATCACAGACAACACCAGCTCCAAGCAGTGAGTCACCTCCCAGCCCACGGGGCCCACACTCTCCCATCTCAGAGCTTCTCCCTCCTCAGCCTTGCTCCACTCAACTTCCCTCCTTTATGTTTTGGGAATTGCTTGGTCTGGAGCATGCCAAATCTGCTCTTTCTTCCTCTATGGATGAGGCAACAATAATGTTTATGTTCAAATTCTAGGCTGTATGTGACAGAAACCCAACTCGGATGGCTTGAGAAAAAGTGGGAATATGCTGGTTTAAGCAGCTGAAATTCAGTCAGGATGGGTTTTCAGGCACAGTTGGGTTCAGATGCCATTAGAAAGCAAGACTTCAGGGATGGGGGTGTGTGGCTGAGAGATTAAGACTGCTTGCTGTCCTCCCAGAGGAACTAAGTTCAGTTCCCAGCATCCATACCAGGCAGCTCACAACTGCCTGTGATTCCAGTTCCAGGAGATCCAGCTTTATCTTCTGGCCTCTGCCAGCACCTGCACTCATGTGCACATACCCACACATAGGCATGCCCACACACAAATAAATATAGTAATAATAATAGTAATAATAATAATAATAATAATAATAATAAACAAATCTTTAGAAACATGGCAAGCTTCCTCCATCCTCTGATGGGGACTACATCTCTGGCCTTCTATTTAAACCCAAACCTCATGACAGGACTCCTTTAGTCCTCTTCTCAATGTGGCCACATTAAATAAATATATTTATCTGCTTTTCAAAAATAAAAGAAACCCCTAAATCTTGCTATATTGGCCTCAGCTGGTCCTATGCTCATTCCTGAATGGCTCAAGACACAGGTTGTTAGCCAGTTTTGATCTGAACTCTAATTAACCAGTCTTGGATCCTGTGTTCATCTCTAAGCCACCTATGCTGTGAACCCTGTGTGCTTACAGGGACAGCTGTCAGCGAGGCTGGAGGCTGCTGTACATCGTGGCTGCCTACTACAGCTGCTCTGAGGTCTTCTATCCATACCTCATTTGCTTCCTCCAACATGTGAGCTGGACCCCAGGACTGCCCTTCCAAGGTGAGGAGCTGTGAGTGGGGACACTCACACAGGGACAGGACATCTGACCATGGTCTGGCAAAACCAGAGAGCCTGCCCTTAGTAGAGGTCTAGGCAGTCTTGACTGATATAAGTGTTTCTACAAACACTCATGAAGATCCCAAGGGGTTGGTGCAGTGACTTCTCTGATCTCGTGTGGATATGTCCTCGGAAGGCTTCCTGGAGCAGGAATTGCCCTGGGTAGTGATAGCACAGGAAGAATTTCCAGGTAGACTTTGCAGAAGTCAAGGCCCAGAAATGGAGTGCTTGATATATAGGAGAAATGGAGGAGGTAGGCAAGAACCAAGAACACCAAAGTAGGGCCCTGCTTCTGTTCATCCAGGGCCATCAGAGGCCTGCAGCTGGTAGCATGGTCTCAGCTTTACTTCTGCAGTCCCTTCTGGAGAAAGGGGCTGCTTCCAGCCTTGTTTCCATAGCAACTCAAAGAAAGAGACAAGGCATGGTGGTGCATATCTGAAATCCCAGCACTAAGGAAACTGAGGCAGGAAAATTAGGAGTTCCAGGGCAGCTTAGGATACATACTGTATTGCTATGATAAAACACCATGGAAAAAAAAACTGTGCAGAAGAAAGGGTTTATTTCATTTTATAGCTTACAGTCCACCATGAAGGGAAGTCAGGGCAGAAATTCAAGGCAGGAATCTGAAGATAGAAGCTGAAGTAGTGCCATGGCTTGCTTGCTTGCTTGGTTTTTTGTTTTGTTTTTAAATAGGCTTTCTGGGTGTAGTACTGACTGTCCTGAAACTCACTCTGCAGACCAGACTATCCTTGAACTCAGAGATCCTCTTGCCTCTGCCTCCCAAAGTGCTGGGATTAAAAGCATGTGCCACCACTGCCCAGATTTCAGCCACCTTTCTTACACCTCCCAGGATCATTTGGCCATGGGTGGGGCCAGTTACAGTGGGCTAGGCCTTCTCACACCAATCATTACTCAAGAAAATTATAGTTGGAATTTTCTTTGGGCCCCAACCAGCTCCCAAATAAAGACATGGAGACTTATTATGAACACTCAGCCTTAGCTTAGGCTTGTCCCACTAGCTCTTTTAACTTAATTTAACCTGTTTTTATTCATCTACATTTTTCCTCAGGGCTTTTTACCTTTCATTCTATATGTTCTACTTTACTGCTACCTTTATGTCTGTCTGTCTGTCCTCTGGCATCTCTTTTTCTTTTCCTTTGAGCCTAAATTCTTCCTCCTACTTATTCTCCTTGCCCAGAAGTCCTGCCTATACCTCCTCCCTCGACATTGGACATTCAGCTTTTTATTAGAACAATCAGGTGCCTCAGGAAGGCAAGGTAAAATAGCAACACATCTTTACATAATTAAACAAATGCAACACATCTTTAAATAGTTAAACAAACATTCCGCAACACCCCATAGACATATATGTCCATGGGCCAATCCAATGGGGCACTTCCCCAGCTGAAGTTTGCCGTTCCTGGTGTCTTTAGTTTGTGCCAAGTTGACAAAAAAAAAATAATGAGTACATGCACTGAGATCCTATCTTCAAAAAATAGAGGGACCAGGACCCTCTAATCAATTATAGTGATGTCAGCCATAGAGGACATAGGGAAGCCCCTCTCCCTGAATCTCCTTCTGATTATTAACTGACACAGAAAACTAGGGAAGGGCTCCCTAGTCATCTCCAGGGAGATGACGGAAGAATGTGCCCAAGAATTCCTGACTCCATCCCTGGAGAGAGAAAGTATATTGCTTAGCTTAGATGCATGAATCACAGTGGGGGTCTCTGTCCTGTGATGAACAGTGGGATGGGGCACTTGGCATGCATTCCCAGTTGAGAGAGACAGGGCACCATCATGCCATCTATTGAACCAGTTGAGAGTGAGCAGCATGGCCAACAGCTAAGGAGTATGGCTATCTCTAGATAGCCTAGGGCAAGACAGGATTATAACCCCATGAGCTGTAGGTTTGGATTCTCTCTAACACTCCAGGTCTTTATCTTGGTGAATCGCTGCCCCTTGCTGAGTTCACATTCCTCAACTAGCAAAAAGGGAATAAGACCTATTTCTTATTGAAGCAATGTAGGGGACTCATGGCTGGGCTAAGAGGAACTTTTTCCTTCTATGGCCAACCTTGAGCAAGCTCTCAGCTCTGTGCCTCTGCAGGGATTGCCAAAGCCTGTGAACAGAACCTACAGAAGACCTTGCGTTTTGGGGGCCGTCTGGAGTTCCCCAGTAATATGGAGCTTCGAGCTATGTTGGTGAGCCTACAGCAGGGCTGGGGTCAAGATGAGTGGGAGACACGAGCTCGGCCCAGAACCCTTTGTAGGTGCATGTGCAATGCATGGTGCGTGAAGATGGTTCCTGTCAACCCTGGTATATAAAGGTTTCTGCACAGACATGCCTCTGGGTATGGGACCTCCCATGAGAATGATAGGGTCCAGGCTATCAGCTTACTTCTGTTTACCTACCCCAGGCAGGCCGAAGTTCCAAGAGACAGCTCTTTCTTCTTCCAGGAGGCCTTGAACGCCATCTGAAAATCAAAACATGCACTGTAAGTGAGGAGCCTCTCAACAAGCTGGTACTAGAAGGATAGAGATGCCAGACTCTGGGTTGGTTGGAGTGAGCATCAGTGATCCAGAGAATCTCACACAGCTCCATGAGACAAGGCTTGCAGTTAGTTGTTCTTCCACTACTGTGGGCTCAGCATCTGCAGATTCAACCAACTGCAGATGGAAAATATTGGGAAAAGTCACACTGGTACAAAATCTTTTCTTGCCTTTCTCTAAACAATGCCGCATGACAATGTCCACACAGCAGTCTGCTATATTTGGTGTTATCAGTCAGAGACCATTGAAAGTCTAAGGAGGATGTGTGGAGGTACATGCAAATAGCTATACAACTTTAAGTAATAGACTTGGGCATCTCAGGAGTTTGGTACCTGCAGGGGGTCTTGTAATAGGTCCCTTATAGATGCTGAGCGGATAACAGCAAACTGAGACTTCGAAAAGCTAAGTCACACAGAGAATATAAAAAGGCAAATCAAGAGCCAGTTCCAAAAGCTGTACTCTGCCAGGTTGAGCCATGGAGTCCTATGTCTCTTTGTTAGTGGCTAGGGCCCAGCTTTACCTCTCTGGCCTTCCTAGGTGGCCCTGGATGTGATAGAGGGGCTCTGCAACGAGATGGCCCTGACACGTCCTGAAGCCTTTGATGAATATGTCATTTTTGTTGTCACCAGCCGAGGTGAGTAGCCAGGACGACTGAACATTCTAGGCCCCTTCATGACCCAGTACCACCTTTGGCCATGGGGCCTCTTTACCCTGCCCTGATGACCAGGTCAAAGGTCACTTTCTCTGAAGCCTTTAACCTCCATAAGAAAGGGCCTCTGTGTGTGCTGAGCTTGCTCCCCAAGCCTTTTGTTTCTCCTACTTTGTTATGTCCTGTACATGTCTGTCTTCCCTTTATATTGGGGTTGTTCGAGAAGAGAGCTTCTGAACCCTGCTTTGGTCTCTCAGGGCCTCCTCAGTCAGAGAAGCTTCTCTCTAGATTTTACACTTTGGAAAACTTTCATCCATGAACCAGACTCCTGAACTCCCACCCCCATAGGAACATTTGCTCCACCCTCAAGCCCTCAGAGTAGCATGTAAGCCCCTCCTAAGGTCTCAGCGGACCTCCTCTCAAGGTACACAGGGAACCTCACACAGCCCCAAACCTCTCCAATTTGCTATACGTCCACTCTAGGCTAGTTTTGCCTTCCACCAACTGGTATCCACGGCCATCTCCAGTTGTCCCTTCATGAGTGCCTCAGCCCTTCCTACCCCAGGTCCAGCCAGGACAGAGGGGGAGGGGATGGTAGGTGACAGCAAACATTTATTGAGCATATAGTGGGCATGAGCTAAAATTTTAATGGTATAAATGCCTGTGGATTGTTGGTTGGTTGGTGTTTGTTTGGGGATGTACTGGGAGTCAAACCCAGTGTCTCATGCATTCTGGGTAAGCTGTCTATGACTGAGAAATGTACCCACCCCAGAACCTAATACTGTACATGTCCGTTAAAAGACCTAATATAAGGTCTTTTAACTCCCACAACTCTATAACATAGACTCTTCTCTTTGCTATCTACAGCTGGAGAAATTGAGGCCCGGAGGAGCTTTATTAGTTTCCTGTGGCTGCTACAACAAAATGACCATAAGCCCAGTAACTTACAATAACACAGATTGTCTCATAATTCTGAGACTCAGAGATACTAAAAGAAAAACACCATCAGGGTTGTTTTCTTCTGGAAGCTTTAGGGGAGGTTCCATTTCTACCCTTTCCCACCCTCTGCAAGCTGCCCACAGTTCTTGGCTTGGGGTTCCTCCCTGTCTCTGAATCCAAAAGTGTAGTCTTCAGATGTCTTTCTTCTGCCCCAACCTCAACTCTGCCCCCGTGTCTCTGCCTTGAGCCTCTTGCCTCTCTTTTAGGATATCCAGTGCTTCCATTTGGTCTATCCAGTGATCTAAGACCCTTAATCACATCTGCAATGTCCCTTTTGCTGACATAGTCACAAATTCTAGGCATTAGGATATTGCTCTCTGCAGAGGGACTGCTCTCAGACACCACAGAGACTTGATCAAGGTTGCACAGTGGAGGTCAGAACCCAGGCAATCTGACCCTCTGTAGTGCAGTTTTCCTGAATATGTGGAACGGGTAGCAGAAACATCAGTGCAAGGGAAGCATTGTATGCACCTCTCAGCTTAAAGCTCAGGCCTTTGACCCTACCCACCACAGATGCCCAACAAAGGGCTCTACTGAAGGAGGTCTGCAGAAAGGGTCATGGCTAAGGCCTGCTGTGCTTCTCTGTAACCCCAGTCTCTCTGGAAAATGGGTTGGCATTTCTCAGTGCAGAAGCCAAGGATCTTTCCAGACCCTGGCAGGCACTTCAGAACATTAAAGGCCCCTTCCTGGGGAAGAATGGAATGCCACTTGTTTCTTTGAATTGGAGAAAATCCTCCTATGATCACCAGCACTTCACAGGTGCACAGATATCCTGCTTTGTATGTTTGTTCCCCTTAAAAATGAAGGTGTGGGCTGGAGAGATGGCTCAGAGGTTAAGAGCACTGACTGTTCTTCCAGAGGTCCTGAGTTCAATTCCCAGCAACCACATGGTGGCTCACAACTATCTGTTATCAGATCTGGTGCCCTCTTCTGGTGTGCAGATATACATGGAAGCAGAATGTTGTATACTAATAAATAAATAAATAAATAAATAAATAAATAAATAAATAAAATCTTTAAAGAAAAAAAAAAAAAACAAGAAAGGTGCATCCTTGCTGGTGAACTGCACTCAGGTTAGTGCGGTACACACTTGTACCAGAGGTACACTTCCCCAGCCATGCCTCTTTCTCCCTGTAGGCCAGCATGTATGTCCACTGAGCTGCCGGGCCTACATTCTGGATGTGGCCTCAGAAATGGAGCAGGTGGAAGGTGGCTACACACTCTGGTTCCGGCGGGTGCTTTGGGATCAGCCACTAAAGTTTGAGAATGAACTGTATGTGACTATGCACTATAACCAGGTAAGAGGTGTGACCCTTCTATTGTTCTGAACCCTATAAAATGGTGGAGTGTCTGTCACATCACAAAACACACATGCCACACCCAGATTTTTTGTGCAACTTGTTCCAAAGCTTTACCAATGCCATATAAAAAACATGGTCACATTGTTGGATGTGGTAGTGCAAGCCTTTAATCCTAGTGCTCAGGAGACAGGGACAGGCAGATCTCTGGGAGTTAGAGGCAAGCCTGGTCTACATAGCAAGCTCCAAGTCAGCTAGATCTACATAGAAAGACCTTTTCTCAAACACATAGCCACTTTGTTGGGGGGGGGGCACACAGTGTTGAGACCTACATAGCTTGGTAGTGTGTTCCACAAAGAACCAGCAAATACTTGATACTAATTGGTTCTACCCCAGATCTACAGGATCAGAAACTCTGGATGCAACTCTGAAATTTGGTTTGACACGCTTTCTTCCTTGGGTCTCAATTTTGAGAAGCATGTATTTAATGAACACTTGCACACACTATACTGTTTATGTTTTGTTTTACCTAGCCCACTCTTCCCATGTTACCATGGAAACTCCCCCATAGCCTTCATCCCTCAGAGCTCTTCTCTCATATGTATCTATCCTCATTCTCCACAAACTAGGAAAGTGATGAGCCATAAACTCCTAGGAGTGGGAAAGACTGGAGTCAATGCAATTGCCTGACCCAGTACCCCTGACAATGAATGCCTGAATGTGCTCCTGTCTGGCAGCCTCTCATGCCAATGCTTCCTGTAGGTTCTGCCTGATTACCTGAAGGGCCTCTTCAGCAGCGTGCCAGCCAGCCAGCCCAGTGAGCAACAACTGCAGCAGGTGGCCAAGCTGGCCTCCCTGCAGCACCGTGCCAAGGACCACTTCTACCTGCCCAGTGTGTGAGCACCTGTCCATTTGTCTCAACCAGGAGAGAGGGCAAACCACCCATCCCCTCTTTTCTCACAACTGCCAGTACCCGTTTCCCCTCTGTACCAATTAGACTGGAAGAGGCTTTCCTGGCCTTGAAGCTCTTTTCTTCTCCTGTAACATATTGTTAATAGCTTGGAACAAATTGAATGATGAACGAAAACTTTCAAGACATGCATACCTTGTAGGCCAGAAAATATACAGAGCCAATGAGGATTTAGCCACATAAACATTCACTGAGCTGGGTGTGGTGGCTCATGCTTCTAATCCCAGCAGTGGGGATGCTGAAACAGGAGGGTCACTTGATCCCAGGAATTCAAGGCCACATAGTGAGAACCCTAACTCAAAACACAAATCAAGGCTGGCCAGTGGTGATGCACACCTTTAATCCCAGGACTCAGGAAGCAGAGGCAGGTGGATCTCTGTGAGTTCGAGACCAGCCTGGTCTACAGATATAGTTTTAGGACAGCCAGGGCCATTACACAAGAAACCCTGTCTCGGGGAAAAAACAAAAAGCCACAAATCAAAACAGAGTTTGATGACTCATTTACAGTAATAATATAGCTGTTACATGTTAATATGTATAGAATGTGATGAAAACTAACCATGGTGTCTGAGTGAGAACACCATGTCTGACATTTATGAATCCTTTCCTGAGTGACTCACCGGATGTCTCTCTGCCACCATCTTGCTGTGTAGACCAAGCCATTACTCACAGCCTCTGAGAAGCTTCACCTTTCACTTGTGAGAGGATGAGAGTGGGGGGGAAGGCAAATGACATGTTGGCAGCACTGTGAAAATGGGTGTAGCCTCACAGCCCCTGGACCACACTTGAGAAACCCTGTGTGAACAACAGCAAGAAACTGCCTTTATCATGTATATCTCATGCCTTTACTGCCCAAGGACAAATGCTGAGAGGGCTTTTCCTTTTCCTTTTTTTTTTTCTTTTCCTATTGTTTTTCTTTCTTTTTTTCTTTTTTTGGTGACAGGGTCTCAGTATGTAGCTGGGGATAACACTGAATTGTCTCCACCTCCTGAGTGCTAAGATTTCCAGGCCTGAACCAAGGCACTTTTCATGGAATGATTGCTTTTCTGTTTTTTGTTTTGTTTTTCAAGACAGGGTTTCTCTGTAGCTTTGGAGGCTGTCCTGGAATTCAATCAATAGACCAGGCTGGCCTTGACCTCAGGGATTCCCCTGTCTCTCTGCCTTTGGAGTGCTGGGATTAAAGGTGTGTGCCACCACTGCCTGGCTCATGGAATGATGGTAAACAACAAGAAGAAACCTGTAAAAGTATAATTCCAGAGGTTGGGAGATGGCTCACTCCATATGTCACACAAGCATGAGAACCTGAGTTCGAGCCCCACCACCGACAGAAAATGGTAGCATGTGCCTGTAATCCCATTGCTCAGAAGGTGAAGACAGAAGGATCTCTAGGGCTTAATGGCTATCCAGTCTAGCTAATCAGTGAGCTCCAGGTTCAGTGAGAGACCATCTCTCAAAAAATAATTGAAGCCAGGTATGATGGTACATGTCTTTAAACCCAGCACTCAAGAGGCAGAGGCAAGAAAATCTCTATGAGTTTGAGGCTAGGTTGGTCTACACAGTGAGTTTTAAGCCAGCTAAGGCCATATAGTGATACCTTGTCTCCAAACCAACAACATCAATAATAATAATAGTTGGAGAAACAGTTAAGGAAGACACTCAACATTTACCTCTGGCCTCTTACCCCTTTAGGGCAGGGGAACTTTGGGAGGGGAAGGGGCTGCCTCAACTTCTCCCGTCCCTTTCTCCAACTGCAGCTCAGAGCAGGTGGGATGGACCAGGACTGCTATTGCTATTTTCTCCCTGCCCAAGAGGCAGAAGGTCTTGCCTGAGAGAGCCTGCATATGTCAAGAGGGGCGGGGCAAGAGCAGGAACTGTGACAGGTGGGGATGAGACCCTGGGGACTCAGCCTGAGGTTCCTCTTTGCACACCTGGATGTCTTCCCACCTTTGTGCTATTCACCCCTTTGCCTTGAGTTCCTTGGGTGCAGGAACTAAGAAACCCAGTCTGGATTCACCTCATCCTGTTTACACTGCCTCTCTCAGTAATTGCATAGCCTTGCCCCCCACCCCTTGGTGAACCTCTCATCACCCTCAGCTGTGAGTAGAGACCCCATATCCCCTTCCCTCGATCCCCTACATCTGGTTTCTCAAGAAAGTATGGCAGTCCTGTCTACTGGGTGTCACACCTGCTTTGCAGTGGAGATCAACAGGTAGGTGGATCAGAAGTCCTGTACCCTCTGCACACAGGTGTGAAGTCCAGGAGTACATCCCAGCCCAGCTCTACCACACCACAGCCAGTGACACCTGGCTCAACCTGGTTAGCCAGCACCGGCAGCAGACTCAGGCACTCAGCCCCCACCCTGCCCGTGCTCAGTTCCTGGGTAAGAGCTGGGAGGAGAGCTGGAGACCTCAGGGGAAGCTGAGCTGAGGGGTGGGCAGAGGGAGGTTGGAGATACTATTTTCTTTTTAAAATTTTATTTTCATTTATTTACTTATTTATTTTAGTTTTTCGAGACAGGGTTTCCCTGTGGCTTTGGAAGCTGTCCTGGAACTAGCTCTTGTAGACCAGGCTGGTCTCAAACTCACAGAGATCCACCTGCCTCTGCCTCCCAAGTGCTGGGATTAAAATTTTATTTGTTTTTATTTTATCAGTGTTTTGCCTGTATGCATGTCTGTGTGAGGGTGTTGGCTCCTGGAGTTACAGACAGTTGTGAGCTGGCATGTGGGTGCTGGGAACTGAACCCAGGTCCTCTGAAAGAGCAGTCAGTACTCTAAACTACTGAGCCATCTCTCCAGCTCCAAGGAGATACTATTTTCTTTGCACACAAGCAGTTTTTGGTGGTAGCTGAGCTGCCTACCTATTTGGAAAGACTTATTGCCACTTTCTTGAAAGTATCACCTGGGTTGGAAATGATGGTGGACAGCGAGCTAAGGGGAAGGCACTAGGAGGTGCAATATGGGAGGAGGCCAGGAGGGGAGGAAGAGAGGTCTGAGCAGACAGGAGCACAGAGCAGCTTCTGCAGGCAGCTGGCAGCTTAGGGCAGTAGCTGTCCGGTTGTCCTGGCCCAGGTGTCCTGATGGCAGGCTTTCCACACCACAGGCCTCCTCAGTGCCTTTCCCTTGTTTGGCTCCTCCTTCTTCTTCATCCAGAGCTGCAGCAACATCACTGTACCAGCCCCCTGTATCCTGGCCGTCAACCATAATGGCCTCAACTTCCTCAGCACCAAGACCCATGTGAGTGGCCTCTGCCAGGCCCTGCCCACCTGTCTCTTCTGTCCTTTGGCACACCCCCACCTACTCTTAGGGACAAAGATTGCCAGCTTCACATTTGCCTCCTTCATGGTCTGCAGCCAGCTCTGCCCCTCCAGAACCTTCATTTGGAAAGTTGGGAATAATAGAATCCTGGCCCCACAGGGCTTTGTGGAGGGGACGTGTAGGAAAACACACCAAGAGCATGTGAGTAGTACGCCAGGCTGTCGGAGCTGCACACCACGGGCTGGGAGCCCTATGCAATACAAGGTCATTTTCTCATGTTTCTGGATGATGAAATTCCAAGATTTTTACAGCTTGGGAGCTTTGGTTTCTCCTTGGCTTGTAGACAGTAACCTTTTTGTTTGTTTGTTTTTCAAGACTGGTTTTTCTGTATAGCCTTAGCTATCCTGGAACTCCCTCTGTAGACTAGGCTGGCCTCAAACTCACAGGAATCCTCCTGCCTTTGACTCCCGAGTGCTAGGGTTAAAGGTGTGAGGACAATTCTCCTCTTCTTATAAGGACACTAGCTGAAATGAAGCCCAATCTAGTGGCCTCGTTTTAACTGATTTACCTCTTTTTGGAATCAGGGCGTGGGGAGGCTGTATAAGTTTGTGGCCCAGGCTCGCCTTAAATGACTCTCCTAACTCAATTTTCCAGCAATGGGATTACAGACATACACCATATGCCTACCTTTTATCTCTCTACCTGTTATACTAAGGGTGGAATCAGCTCTCCCCCGATACTAGGCAAGCACTCTATCCCTGGTCCCTTAACCCCCTCTTTACAGGTCCCACCTCCAAATATAGTCAGGTTTTAGGCAACAGAGGCTTTCTACATTAAGGAGTTGGACTTGCCACCCTTTTCTTAGTTCCTGCTCTTAAAAACCCAACATGGGTTGTGAGTTTGGGGATAGGAGGTTTGCTTAGAGGTGAGCCTAGGAGACACTGGAAAAAGTAAGTGGGGTGAAAAGGGGGCAGGTGTACAGTGGTTGAAGACCCTGGGAGACAACACAGAACCCACCTGTTAGTTGTGTTTTTTCACCTGAGGTAAGGAGCTGCCATGACTCCTCACTCTACATCCCCAGTGGTCAGTAGCTGAAGGTGTCGGCTTTAGGTACTAACTGTCCATCACTCTACCTGTCTCTGCATGGGGACCAGAAATAGAGCTCCTTGATAAAAGGGTACGGGTGTTCTCAGAAGCAGCTCTGATATAAAGGTCGGAGTACACAAAGCACCCGCTATCCTCTGCATCTCAGGCATGAAGCTTCAGTGTTTGTTGAATCAGTTGCCCCCGGTGAGGAAACAGATCCAGAGTGGTCAGGTGAATTGCTCCAAGTCAAAAAGTCAGTGAGTGTCTGAGGAACTAGAGCTGGGCCTTCTGCCTTTTGATGTGACTTTTTTTGGGGGGGTGGGGGGAATTTGGCATGGAAGAGACTGTCCTCACCCTTCAAGCCTGTCTGGCTCCTCTGTCCTCATCCCCAGGAGCTAATTGTGAAGATTCCCCTGAAGGAGATCCAGTCCACATGGACTCAGCAGCCCACGGCCAATTCCAGCTATCCTTATGTGGAGATCTCCCTGGGGGATGTGGCAGCCCAGCGTACCATGCAGCTCCAGTTGGAGCAGGTTAGTCCCATCCTGCCAGCCAGACCCTGTCATAAGGCTCTGGTTTTCTCATTCTACAAACTGGGCTCTTCTCTGGCCTAGGCTATGCCCCATGGAGCATACAGCCCAGTACAGGCAACAGAGCTGTGAGTTATCATGGAGGCTCTCCCAGGAAGCAATTTAGCAGTGCACTGTGGGAAGGATCCAGATTATTTGCAGAATAGTGAGGTATTTGGCAGGGTGCTAGGAAGATTCACCAGGAAATGAGCGGCCTCAGAGCTCTTTGAATGTTGAAAGAAAACTCTGGGAGATGGAGGTATAATTCAGTTGCTAGAGTACTTGCCTAACATGGGTGAAGCTATAGATTTGATCCCTAGTACAACACAAAAACTGGGCATGGTGATACATGGTAATCCCAGCAACCTCAGAAGGTAGACAGGAGGAGTCTGAGTCCAAGGTCATCCTTAGCTGCAAAGGCCAGCCTGGGTTAGAGACCCTGCCTAGAAAAGAAAGAGGAGGAAAAGGAGGAAGAGAAGGAAGAAGGATGAGGGAAAAGGGAGGAGAAGAAGAAGAAGAAGAAGAAGAAGAAGAATTGGAAGCTTTTTGAGGTCACTAGGAAGCAATAGTTGTGAGTAGACATTTTGGCACAGGAGGCCTAAGGAGGTTGACTTGGGCTGAGATGTGGCAGCTAGATTGTGGCACAGGACTGGAAGCAAGGTAAGTAAATTTCCTTGTGACATCTAGACTAGGATAATCTTGTGGTCCTTCATATCAGGACAGAAACAGAGATGGGGTTGAGGCAGAGAGGACAGGATTTGGGATGGCCTCGTTTTTGCCCTTTCTAGCCTGTCACCTCCCCTGTGAGACTGGGCCTCCCACTGTACCAGGAAGAGCCCTAGAGAACTTGTGATGCAGGACCAGGTTCCTGGATGGCCTTCTGCCACACCCCTTTGCCCTGCCTCCCCCATTCTCCTTCCTCTGGCAACCATGATTTCTTTCCCTGCAACCTCTCTGCCCCCAGGGCTTTCAAAATGATCTCAGCAATGGCAATGCCCTGGTTAGGGGTACTATTGCTGTGATGAAACACCACGACCAAAACAAGGTGGGGAAGAAATGGTTTATTTGGCTTATACTTACACATTGTAGTCTGTCATTGAATTAAGTCAGGAAAGGAACTCAAACAGGGCAGGAACCTGGAGACAAGAGCTGATGCAGAGGCCGTGGAGGGGTGCTGCTTACTGGATTGTTCTTCATGGTTTGTTCAGCTTGCTTTCTTTAGAATCCAGGACCACCAGCCCAGGGATGATACCACCCACAATGGGCTGGACTCTCCCTAATCAATTACTGATAAGAAAATGCCTTACATCTGGACCTTAGGGAGGCATTTTCTCAATTGAATTTCCCTCCACTATGTGCCAGGCACTATGCTGTTGACATGGTGCAAATAAGATGGCTGAGGCCCTGTCTGCATAGAGCTGATGTTCTGGCAGGGAAACAGGCACATAGTGGATGCTAGTGTGTACTTGTTGGGTTGATAAGTATATGAGTGGGTAGGTGGGTGAGTGAATGGATGGAAGAGTGAGTAGAAAGGTGCACAGATGGGTGGATGAAAATCTTTTCGGCTTCTTCAGTTCCTTGCGGTTCCCTCCTATGAAGAAGCTACTACCTCTGTCCTGTATGTGTAGAGGGAGGGACACAGTCTTTCACTCATTCCTTCATTCAATACACAGCCACTGAGCATCTCTGTATAGCATGCTTTAACAAATGTGACTGAATCTCCTGCTGTACTGGCTCTCATAGATCCCCAATTTCAAGTCTGTTTTTGTTGTTGTTTTGTTTGAGACAAGGTTTCTCTGTGTAACAGCTCTAGCTGTCCTGGAACTTGATTGGTAAACCAGGCTGGCTTCAAACTCAGAGATCCACCTGCCTCAAATGCTGGGATTAAAGGCATGTGCTACCACCATCCGGCTCCAAATTTCAGATCTGTAATCTCTCTACATAACCATGATCCATACTGGGAAGGGTGCACAGGAGACTTGATCCATGTAAGAGGCGATTGGGGATGGCTCCCAGGAGGAGATGCTTTCCGAGTGTGGCGGCATTGCAGTCTCTGACAGGTTGTGCAAGGGGATTATGAAGCATCCTGATGCCTTTGAGCCTGTTTCCACATCTGCTAAACTGAGCATAAGC